TAGCACTTGGTTGCAATACATTTTTCCCAAGACCAACATACAGCTTGTTGTAAACTAGGGATTTTAGGATTATACAATTTTGGAAGAGCAGATTTAACATCAAGGCATGTAACAGAGGCCCCAAATTTCCTATTACGGGAGCAGAGTGCGTTGACAAGGGGAAAATTTCCATGAATCTGCTAACCTCCCCTTCCCTCGAGTTACTCTACAGTCCCTTGGAGGCACAGAAACAGGACCGTGATTGCCAATGCATTTAAAAGGGTGAAAGTTATTATGAGTAACTTACCAAAGCTGTGGTTTTTCTTCAGGAGGAAGCACGGGGCTTGGGGAATTTGAGTAAGGTCTGTGTCCATATTCCCAACAAGATTTTTTTTTAATTATTTTTTTAGTATCCTCTTTGACAGGAAATGGTCTAACTCTAAATCATTGCACCTCCCACCTAGGTAAACTAAAGATGATGATAATAATAATGCCAGTCTCGCCTATTTCATATGGATTTTATAAAATCAAAAGAAGCTGCGTGCAAAATCACTTTGGAAAACATAACCAGTGAATGTTTACTGAATGATTGCAAAAACACTACTCTATCCTAGGTGAAACCATGCCTATGAATGGACATTTTTCTCACTACTAGAAAAGTTGCTCTCCAATTGTTGGCACAAATGTAGAAAGGAAAATGCTTTTGCTAGCCTCTTTCAGCATATTCTTAAAAACATGTTTATCCTAGACCTGGAAAATGTTTTATGTGGTCAGATATGCTGAATGCAGGCCCAAGTACTTACTGGCTTTCAAGGCAGGTAGTTTGAAAAAGGCCTGAAAAGTGCAGCGGTATTTATTGAGCATTTATTGTGTGCCAAGCACCAGGAATATAACAGTAAACAAGACCATTTACTTCTGTCTTCATGAAGTTTTACAGAAGAGTGGGGATACAAGCAAGTAAATTGAATTCTTACATACCTATACAGTTAGTCCTCTCTTAACATTATTGATAGGTCTGTGACTTTAAGTGAATGGATATATAACAAAACCAGTTTTACCACAGGTTAATTGTTAATAAACAGGAGTTAAGTTCCTAGGGCACTTCCTCAATGGCATAATGAAATGATGTTGAACAAAAATGCTATTATTTGAGGACCTGCTGCATTCTTATTTTGATTTTACCAGAAAAGAAAGAGTGATTAAATATTAATACTCCATCCATTTCTAAATTGAAGACTAAGGTGCACCAAAACATCAGAAATAACATCCAGAATTATAATAGATGTCCAAAGGAAAATTTGGAGAAGCCCAAGGTCAGCCAAAGGTGGCCATTGATGATTTTGAGTGTCTGTGACATTCTGGGAAAACCCTGTACTTCAAAATTCTTGTCTGCCTCTTTTTTTTCACCTGTTTTATGAATGGTTTTCACTGTCTATTTGGAAAGACTAAAAAAAAAAAGAACTGGAACAAGAATTCACTGCATATTTGATTTGTTTTAGTCCTACCTCTAACCAGATGTGTGACTTTGAGCAAATCAAGTAACTTCTCTGACCCTCAGTTTGCTCTCTGAAAAAGTTTTACTTAAATAAATTATTATGCCCCTCCTGTTCAGTCATCTCTCTCTCTCATTTAAATAGGAAGTTGGGAAGGAAGAATTAGAAGGGAAATTTTAAAGTACTACAGTAAAGAAAAGACCTGGGAGACCTAGAACTCCTCCAAGTAAACTCCTTTGAACACTATTAACACAAAGATAAAAAATATGTCTCATAAAGTATGCTTATCATCCTTCATTTTTATCATGATTACCAAAAATAGTATATCTGTGGATCCCTGTCATATCACCTCCCACAACACGCACATGATTTCTCAGATAATATTGTTTTTCGCCCTTTTTCTAGGACTCTAAGGCTAAATTTAATTAATACAAAATGTTTTCCAATAACTAAGTTTAAAACAAGTTTAACAGCTACCAGCAGAGCCTGAGGAGGCCGGCCAGTCTTGACCTTTGCGATACCCACTCCTTCCAGGCGAGGACACGGCATTTTCCAGATGACCTGGGAGGCCTGGCGCCCACTGCTGTTTGCACCTCCCTTTTTTCTAGAGCCCCTTTGCAGTTGATTTTCTTTCTTCTAAGACACAGGTGCTGCATCTCTTGGGCTGAATACATGATCCTGATGGTACTCGGTCCCTGGCTGAGCTTTTGTGCCCACACATGCTGAGAGCTTGCAGATAAAGCAGGAAACCCTCTCAGACCCCATCTCCTGTCCACCTCTGTTAGCATTTCTTCTCAGCTCCATTCGCCAGGATCTGCCCGACCACATGCTTTTGGGGAAACCCACTCGCCACTGGTCACTAGCCACCCACAGGCCAGTGGACACCTCTATCTTGCTGCCATCTCGGCTCTCCCTTTGCTGCAGAGAGGAAAACCGCTTTGGCCCCAGGTGAACAAGGCTGTTTGGTTGGTTGACAGTTTCCCTACACTAATGGAGAGCTTCTTGTCAAGAAACAGGAATTCTGCAACTCGATGCCTTGGAGACTGAGGCTGACTTGGGACTGTGGGAGAGCAGGACACAGATGGGACAGCGTGGCAGGACCCGGGGAGCCCGGGCAGGCTTCTGGATAGGAAGGCTCAGCTCAACTTCCAAAAATGACTTCATAAGGAATTCAGTGTCCTGAGGTCACATTTACCTGGGTTTCTCTTGTTCAGAAGAGTGTTGTTCTGAGATCCCCAGTGGCTAGGCCAGCCGTGGGCAAACTACGGCCACGGGCGGATCCGGCCGTTTGAAATGAATAAAACTAAAAAAAAAAAGGCCGTACCCTTTTATGTAATGATGTTTACTTTGAATTTATATTAGTTCACACAAACACTCCATCCATGCTTTTGTTCCGGCCCTCTGGTCCAGTTTAAGAACCCATTGTGGCCCTCTAGTCAAAAAGTTTGCCCACCCCTGGGCTAGGCCCTTCTGTTGTTAAAAACAAAACATAAAATCCCATAGAATTGGTAAAACACATTTAAAAGCGCATTTGTCTGCTGAGGCAAATCTCTCAGTATCAGTAAGTCTCATTTTCCCTCTCTGTCTAGAAGGGCTAGCAATGTCTGCCCCAGCATCTTTACAAAGAAGGTGTGAGAAATTCATGAGATTACATTTATCAAAACTCTTTGTGGACAGTAAATCATGGCAAACATAAACTTGTCTCGTCCATCGCCTCGCTCAAATTATGCTTCAAAGATGAAGGTAGTTCATCTAGGAACTACCTAGTTCAAAAGGAAATCATGGCTTTCATTTTAAAAATAATTCAGAACCATGGATTGCTCCCAAAGGGACTGAGGGGAGGGGGAGAGGAGGGAGCTGTTTATTGGGTATTCTGAGATGTCTCCAAGAAAGATGAAAACGAAACGTGTCACGTGGCCTGCTTCATCAGCCCTGCGTCTAGGTTGGAGTGCAGAGAAGGGCAGCTCTTTGATGGCATTTGCTGATTAGCATATTGTGGTCCAACTGCAGGTGGGCAGTGACCTCAAGAGCTCCTGGTTCTGCTTCAGCTTCTTCCAAGAGCAGCTAAAGGATGCAGCCAGGGCTGCCAATCACTGGCTCCTAGTGGCCACCATCCAGGCCCCGCCTTCATGTGTATTAATAAGGAACAGTGGGAGGAGTGAGAGGCATGGGGGCTGAAAAGACGTTGCCTATAAACAAATCAGTAATCTGCCTGGGTACAGCTATGCAACTCATCGGCTGCTTGGAAACAACTCTTTGCCCAAAGTAACAGTTTATAGTCATGAAAATATGACTAAACACGAAACATTAAGAGCACACGAGGAAAAGATGCTTCCACAGGCTCTGGGGTGAGTCCCAGCTGGGCTTGACTTTGTCCTTTCCACATTCCAAGTGTGTCCACTCGCTTCAGCAGCTTGGCCCTGAGAACAGCTGATGAAGAAAGAATTGATTGAACGCAGAACAGTCCTTCAGGATGGGTCATCTGGATGGCTGGAATAATCAGCCACCTTCCATCATTTCAGTCTTTTTTTTTTTTTACCTTTTAGATTTTTATTAGTTTTCTCTTAAGAATCAAAATAGTTATTAGCAAATTAGATTAATCAAGACTGTATATCCTCCATATTTAGATATTTAATGATGTACAGCATAATACAAAACAAACCAAAGAGACTGATTTCTATGACTAGCTGTGTCATCCTAGAGCAGGGGACTGGTGGGAGAGGCTGTTCTCCAAAGAGAACTGAGGTGGAGTTAGTGCTGGGCAACTAAATCATGGCCTGTTTCTCCCCAACTCAGTGTGCTGGGAAGGGGCCAATGATTTCTTAATGTGACAACTGTTTCCTAGAGCAGGGGCTTTAAAATCCTGGCAGCAGAGGATTGTGGTCCAAACCAAGCCGAAAGAAACAGGCTGGGTCAGGGAAGCATGGTAACTGCCTGGCAGTAGAGGCAAACTCAGGGCCCCATGGGGAAAGGGCATTCTTTGCACCTCAGTGACATTGCAGAACCAGTGTAACACTAAGAGACTTTGTTAAAAGGGGGGAAAAATAAAACCCTGGAAGAACCTTTCAATTGCACTCAACCTGTATTACAGTTCAGTCTACCAGTACAGGGGAGGGAAGCAACTAGCCCCAGAGCAGCACTGAGTCTGGCCCTCCAGCCTCTTCTCCCTGGCTCCTTTTGGCAGCCAGCCCAGGTTTCAGCTGAGGACATACAGACCCCAGAAAAACCAGAGACATCTCTCTGGAGGGCCAAGGTGGGAAGGACACTTCTCAAAATACAAATACATTTAATATGGAAGGAGCCAGGACAGTTCTAAGGGCATTCACATGCCAAATCTTCCCCACTTTCTCCCCAGCTCAGGGCCTAGGCTCAGACTGGCAAACAGTCTCCACACCTGACCTTCCACCCCCAAAAGAAAATCTGGACGTGCGCCCCTTCTCCTTCCCCACAGGTGGGCTCCTCAGGGCCTCCTGCAGGGGTGGTTCCATGGCAGGGTTTAGGCAGGGCCTGGTCTCAGCTGGCTCCAGAAGACCCATTTGATAATCTTGAGTTAAAAACTATTGATGAGAAGGAAGAACTGAGAAACATTCTGGTAGGAACCACTGGACCCATTATGGCTCAGTTATTGGACAGTAACTTGCCCAGAGGTGGCTCTGGATCTGTGTTACAGGATGAAGAAGTCCTGGCATCCTTGGAGCGGGCAACACTAGATTTCAAGCCTCTTCATAAACCCAATGGCTTTATAACCTTACCACAGTTGGGCAACTGTGAAAAGATGTCGCTGTCTTCCAAAGTGTCCCTCCCCCCCATTCCTGCAGTAAGCAATACCAAATCCCTGTCCTTCCCCAAACTTGACTCTGATGACAGTAATCAGAAAACAGCCAAGCTGGCAAGCACTTTCCATAGCACATCCTGCCTCCGCAATGGCACGTTCCAGAATTCCCTAAAGCCTTCCACCCAAAGCAGTGCCAGTGAGCTCAGTGGGCATCAGAGTCTTGGGCTTTCAACTTTGAACTTGGACAGTGGCACAGAAATGCCAGCCCTGACCCCTTCTGATATGATATCCCAGATGCCTTCCCTCTCTGTCTTGTCTGTGTGCACAGAAGAATCATCACCTCCAAATACAGGTTCCACGGCCACACCTCCTAAATTCTCAATGTCACAAGTGCCCAACACTCCCAGCTGTCCCCAGGCTTATTCTGAACTGCAGACGCTGTCCCCCAGTGAGCGGCAGTGTGTGGAGACAGTGGTCAACAAGGGCTACTCCTATGAGTGTGTCCTGAGAGCCATGAAGAAAAAAGGAGAGAATATTGAGCAGATTCTCGACTATCTCTTTGTACATGGACAGCTCTGTGAGAAGGGCTTCGACCCTCTTTTAGTGGAAGAGGCTCTGGAAATGCATCAGTGTTCAGAGGAAAAGATGCTGGAGTTTCTTCAGTTAATGAGCAAATTTAAGGAAATGGGTTTTGAACTGAAAGACATTAAGGAAGTTCTGCTATTACACAACAATGACCAGGACAATGCTTTGGAAGACCTCATCATTTCAGTCTTAATGACTAAATGAGATGGGATGCGTAGCAATTCAAGTGACTTCTGTTAGTCTGGAAACCAGCTTGCTGCCATCTACAACGTGGCTTTGTGCATCCAAAGGTCAACTAGCTGGTGGAAGAGAGGAAGAAATGGCAATTTTAAGGGGATTAAACTTGAGCACTACCGATCATTATCTAAACGAGGTCCTGCTGTTACTTGTTAGGCAAGGAAAAGTTTGGAAGCTTCCATTTGTTAATGTCATTCAAAGATCTGCTATAGACATTCTACCAACTGGGCTGTGAGCCAGAGGACCCGATGTGAATGCTGCTCACAGGCAAAGGGGCCCAGTAAACTGCCCAGAGGAAATGTCTTGCCACCGACATCTGTAGTTTTCCCTTCAGTTGAAAGTTCAGTACTTCTGAGGCCTCTAGGTCCCTCTCAGTCAGTGCTCCACTGCCTAGACCAGTGATGGCGAACCTATGACACATGTGTCAGAGGTGACACGCAAACTCACTTTTTTGGTTGATTTTTCTTTGTTAAATGGCATTTAAATATATAAAATAAATATCAAAAATATAAATCTTTGTTTGACTATGGTTGCAATCAAAAAATTTCTCTAGGTGACACGGCACCAGAGTTACGTTAGAGTTTTACAAAATGCTGGCACGCCGAGCTCAAAAGGTTCGCCATCACTGGCCTAGACTGTACCCCAGAATCATGGAGGAGCTTTAAAAAATACAAATGCACATCTCAGCCCCAAACCCTAGAATCTCTCACTTAATTGTTCTGGGGTGTGCACTGGCCATCATGAATTTTAGTCACCCCAGTTCACCCCAAGTGGTGCTAATCTGGGCAATGGAAAACTTCTCATCAACCCATTGAGCTTTTGCCTGCAGCCTACCCATTTCCAACATCTCCTTCTCTTTTGTTACGTTCAGGGCTTTCCTGCAGAGGCAAAGTTTCTTTGTAATGCCTTTGAGGGGGGGATTTCATCATATTTGACCCCCTTTCCTTCACATTATAGTTTGGCTTCAGTGATATTTCTTCATTTCCTTGAGACGTGTTTCTAGGATGGTCCTGTTCTCCTGCTGGATTCATGTCATTGGCAAACATTGTGCGTGGTGGCACTTTGGGGACCAGGAAGGCAGGGGGGAGGAGGGCACTTTCATTTTCCTCATGGCCCCGCTCCTCCTGGGGTCACTGAGACTCTCTTTGGAACCTTCAGGTGTGAAGAGCATGAACCAGCTCCGCCTGGTCTGCTGACTGCGTGGTGCAGGGAGGGGAGCCTTCAGGCCTCCCTGTTTTCTTCCATCTGTCCCCTGAGCACGCACAGTGGGCACCACACGAGGTATTATTTAGACCTTGATATGTTCCTTGGCGATAAAGAAGAGGGCCCGTATGACTTGTTAGATAATCATCTGGAATAGAAGTACATGCAAAGGAAATTGGGAAATTAAAACCCGGAGTCTGGTGTCAGTTCTAAGTGTACCCTGACTGAGCACACACTCTGTCCGCACGCCGCCTCCACAGCGCCCTCTCCTGCTATCTCATTGGCCTTTTTCTAAAGGAGCTGGGGTTCCGTGGTTGATTGCAGGCCAATAACTGCGTGCACAGCCCAGCCAGCTCAGGCCCAGAGCCCCAGCAAGGAAATAACAGAGCGAGATTAGGTATTAGACTCAGGAAGGGGCCCTTTTTCTGCTGTTTTTACAGTCACTTGCACTTGAACAAAAGTTGCTTATTGTTTTAATAAAACTGTACTCACAAATGTGGCCATGGCACGGACTCTGTCAGCATTTCCACTGTAACCTCTGCTTTCAGGGGGTTTCAACTCAGCCTTAAAACTTCCTCCGGATTAAAACCTGGCACCAAAAATAACTTGGAATTTCTAAGGCTCAGCCATGAAGGAAATAGTTGTGCGCGAGTGTGTGTTTATGTACCTTTAAAAAGAAATTAATTTGACAATTCTTAAGGAAACACCACAAAATATTTTCCCTCTGATTTGATGTGTTAAGTTTTGTTTGTTTTCTGTGTTAAGTTTTTTAATTTATTTTTTTGTATTGTTGGCAGTATCACAGATGTCCCCCTATCCGTCACCCTTTAATACCTTCTTCCCAGCCCCTGCCCCACCCCAGGGCTTTGCCACATTATTGTCTGTGTCCATACGTTATGCATATATGCATATAAGTTCTTTGATTAATCTCTTCCCATCTCTCCCCACCCCCTTTCTCTGAGATATGTCAGTCTGTTCCATGCCTTGATGCCTCTGGACCTGCTTTGTTCATCAGTTTATTATGTTCATTAGATTCCACATATAAGTGAGATCATGTGATATTTGTCTTCCTTTGACTGGCTTATTTCACTCAACATAATACTCTCCAGGTCCATCCATGCTGTCTCGAAGGGTAAGAAATCCTTCTTTTTTACAGTTGCATAGTATCCATTGTACCACAACTTTTTTATCCATTCATCTACTGATGGACACTTGAGCTGTTTCCAGATCTTGGCTATTGTAAATAATACTGCTATGAACATAGGAGTGCATATATACTTTCTGATTGGTATTTCAGGATTCTTAGGATATATTCCCAGAAGTGGAATCCCTGGGTCAAACAGCAGTTCTATTTTTTAATTATTTTGAGGAAACTCCATACTGTTTTTCATAGTGGCTGCACCAGTCTATCTCAGAATTTCATCTGTACCCCATTAAAGGTGAATTCATTTAAAATACTTTACATATTCAATGTAAGATAGACTTATCTTCTCTTTACCTATTTATCTCTCTGCTTACCTCTTAATAAATGCACTTACAAAGTAAAATGCCTGCTAATTTCCTTATATTTAAATAACCCAGTTTTGTTGCCACACTCTCATAGCTATTCATCTTCTGTGTAGCCCAACCTAAGTCTAATAGTATCCACGACACAGACCAGGAAATGGCATTGGCTTTTGAAATCTACCACCTGTCCATCTTTTCTCTGAAGCATCTATAAACAGTATGAATTAAGTCGATGAAGGGAAAGTCCTCAAGGTGTTTGGGAGATGGGGCAGAGTGGGAATTGGAAGTAGTGAGATTTTAGTCTTATCTCTCCCCACTAACTTTATATGAAAACTCTGACCAGTTTATACCATCTCTGGAAATTATGTTTTTCATTTATCCAAAGCATGCATTTGGAGTACATGGTCCCGCGATTCTCATTCTCACCTGGAAATGGCATTTGCCATTCGGGGCTGTCCAGGACCAACATCCAAATCCCCTTCCTGCTTATGGGGAATTCCAAGGCAGGTGGGAGGCAGGACCACACCTGGAAGGGAGGCAGTTAGGGGACGGGTTGTATTTCAGTGGAGTGAGCCAGTGTCTCAAGCCTAGGACTTTGAATTTGTTTAGAGAATGATGCAAAGCTCAAGGACAGTCCAAGGTTATTTGCTGCACTGATAGCCAAGAACCCAAGGCTTGCTGGGTAGGGCCCTACAGAGCTGGTGCTGTTGGGACCGTCCTAAGCAGACTTCCTGAGATGATCCTGCTTTGCCTTCTCTTTTATCTTGAGCACTTTCTTGAACATGATTCCTCAGCATCTCCATCAATGCTGTGAACTGGCTGATACCCTTCTAATATATTCCTTTTTCATTGAACATTGCTAGCGTTATTTTGGCATTTCTGGTAATGAAGCACCATATAACATATAACCAGAAGAGCAAATTATTTTTTTTAATATGTAGGTAGGATCTTGCCTGCAGGACCAGATATTATTTCTATTTGTTTCCTAGACACTGAAGAGAAATCCAGTTTCCTTAACACATTGCTTTGGAATTTACAAATTATTCTCATATATGCTACCTTTTTAAGTTTTTATTTCATTTATTCATGCCTAGGTTACTTCCATTTTCTGGTACTTCCACTGTTTTTCAAAAGGACTAAGTAGATACATGGAACAGACTGGTTAATCTCAGAGGGAAGGTGATGGTGGATGGGTGGGTGGGTGGGAAGAGATTAACCAAAGAGTTTATATGCATATATGCATAACCCATAGGCACAGACAATAGTGTGATGAAGGCCTGGGGCAGGGGCAGCGGGCAGGCTAGAAGGGATCAATGGGGAAAAAAGGGGGGGGGACATCTGTATAACTTGCAACAATAAAGATAAATTTTTTAAAAGACTAGATAGCGAAGAGTCAGAGATGTTTGTAATTGTAGGATTCTCACAGAGCAAGTGAGGGAACCAGAGAAATACTGACTGGTGATGCTCTTCTTAAGATCCCCTGTGTAACCTGGGACATGCAGATGTCATCCCCTTAAGACTCTTAATAACACTGTATAAACTAGGCACTATCACCCCACTTTAAAGATGAGGAAACTGAGGACCAGGGAGGTTTATGTGTTACCTGACCAACCAGGTAATTCCCAGACCCTGGTCTGCAGCCTGCACATTCATTTCAGTCTGCTAGACAGCATCCCTCCAAAAGATGACATGGTGCCAGGTTGTTCCTAATTCAATGTTCTTTTTTTAAAATATATTTTTATTGATTTCAGAGAGGAAGGGAGAAGGAGAGAGAGATAGAAACATCAATGAAAAGAATCATCGATTGGCTGCCTTCTGCACACCCCACACTGGGGATCAAGCCCACAACCGAGGCACGTGCCCTTGGCCAGAATCGAACCCAGGACCCTTAGGTCCATAGACCAATGCTCTATCCACTGAGTCAAATCAGCTAGGGCTAATTCAGTCTTCTTAACAAGACATCTTTTATACAATATCTTGGTAGAAAGAACAGATGGTTTGGAGTCAAAAGACAAGTCTTAACATGACCAAAACACTAATTATCTAAGTTGACATTTTTTAATCTACAAAAGAAAGATAAGCATCGCAGATATGGGAATTTTATGACAAGTACTTTAGAAAAAATAAACATCTATATAAATTTAGCTGCAGTAACCAGTATCAGCTCTCGGGACTGATAAGAACAGCATAACAGCCGCCTCTGTCTTTGCTGTTACAAATGAGTAATGCCTCTTAAAATCCCCCAGTGGGAACATGGA